GCTAAGGTTTAAGGGTTTAGGGTTTAGGGCTTAGGGTTTAGGGTTTAGGATTTAGGGTTAGGAGGGACGACCCTTAATCAATCTTTTTCCCCTATCTAACCCTTATACCTGAAGGGGGTCACCCCTGTAGTAGCTCCTACACAACCCCCCTAAGGTCCCTTACCAGGGTCCCTCCTTTAGTCCCTTGAGGTTCGGGGTTGAGGGATTGAGGCTTAGGATTGTGTAGGGTTCAGAGTTTAACGGTATAGGGAGTAGGGTTTAGTGCTCAGGGATTTGGGTTTAGTCTTTAGGATTGTGGCCCAGAGAACTACCCATCTAGCAGCTCTAGCAACAGGACATGTTCCCAAACACACCCTTAGGCAATGAAAGCAACAGACATGCCGACTGGAAGTCCCCCTTCCCTCCCCTCCCCCCCTCCCCACAGCTCCTATCTGAACCGCAAACCCCAAAGCCTTCCCCTTGAACCCTTGAACCCTTGAACCCTTGAACCCTAAACCCTAAACCCTAAACCCTAAACCCCAACCCCCAAACCCCAAACCCTAAACCCTCTGTTTGGAATATTGTTTCGGTATCCCTGCTCCCGAGCCGCCAAAGGCTTAGGGTTTAGGGTTTCTAGACCTCAGACCTAACTAAACCCCTCAAGCCCTCGACCCCGACCCCCCGAACCCCGCGTTCCCGTTTATAAGGGGGCCCCTAGATACTAAAGCGAGCGCATCATAGAACCCTCCCTAAAACCCTAAAGCCCTACAACCCTACAACCCTAAAACCCTAAAACCCTAAAACCCTAAAACCCTAAAACCCTAAAACCCTAAAACCCTAAAACCCTAAAACCCTAAAACCCTAAAACCCTAAAACCCTAAAACCCTAAAACCCTAAACCCGAAATCCCAAACCCCTAAACCCTAAACCCCAAACCCTAAATCCCCATAAGCGGGCCCCAGGGTTCCTCCACGTGGGCAACGCCAAGCGCGGCCCGGCCGCGAAGCTGAGCCGCGAGGACGGCGCGGTGCTGCGTCGCTTCCAGGACCGGGCGGAAGCTTCTCGGGTTAGGGTTTATAGGATTTAGGGTTTGGGGTTGAGGGTTTGGGGTTTGGGGTTTAGGGTTTAGGTTTTAGGGTTTAGGGTTTAGGCTTTAGGGTTTAGGGTTTAGGGTTCGTGGTGGCTCTGAGGACTTCCGAGGGTTGCTTGTGTGTCGAAGGGTTTTGATGATGGCTGTGTCCTGTAGATCACATGTAAGCCTAAGCCAAAACCCTAAACCCTAAACCCCCTAAACCCTAAACCCTAAACCCTAAACCCTAAACCCTAAACCCTAAACCCTAAACCCTAAACCTAAACCCTAAACCCCGAAGCCCTGCGGGCTCCACCAGCCCTTGAAGCCCTAAACCCCATAAGCCCCATACACCCTTCTTCGCCACATAAGTGTCTGGTGAGCAAAGACCCTATGAAGCCCTACAAACCTTGCAAACCAAAGAATCCCAAAACGAATTACAAGCAGGCTTCTGATCTACAAGCACGCATGAACTGTCCAACAGAGGTATTCCAAGAAACCATCTGTCCTCACATTGCGATGGTTTGAGGGTTTAGGGTCTAGGGTTTAGGGTTTAGGGTTTATTCAGGTAGGGTTTAGGGTTTAGGGTTTGGGTTTTGGGTTTAGGGTTTAGGGTTTATTCAGGTAGGGTTAAGGGTCTCGGGTTTAGTGTGCCGGGCCAAGTAAGTGTGGGATTGGGGTTTCGGGTCTAGAGTGTCGGGTTTCAGGGATTCAGGTTTAGTATTAGGCTTAACTCCAAACCCTACTTAAACCCTAAACCCTAAACCCCAAACCCTATGCCTTCCGCCAAACCTTCAGGAGGAGAAGGGCAAGGACGTGCCCTTTGTTCTGGTCCTCAGCACCTTTGACGAGGAAATGTACGGGACTGGGGTTTAGGGTTGTAGGTTTTCGGTTTCGCTGTGATATAGGGTAGAAGCTGTGAAGGTTGGGATGCAGACAAGCTTCGAAGGCAGCAAAACCACCCTGCCCGATTGCTTTTGGGGTTTCGGCCTAAACTCGAGTCAATTATGCCCTAAAGCCTAAACTTAGACCCTAAATCCTAAACCCTAAACCCCGTAAGCCGTGAGCCGACTGGGGGGTAATAGGGGACCCCCCCCCCCCCCCCCCCCAACAAGCTTGAGGACGTCGGGTCTGCGCAACGCCCTCCCGCAACCCTAAACCCTAAACCCTAACCCCTAAACCCTAAACCCTAAACCCTCAACCCTGAACCCTGAACCCTAAACCCTAAAACCCTTAACCGAAACTCTGGGGATTGAGGGTGCCCAAACTCCTAGGGCCCACACCCTAAAGCGTGGTAACATTTAGGGGCAGGGTTAAGGGTTTAGGGATTCCCAATCCCCCCCCCCCCCCCCCCCCCCCCCTGGCGCTCAACCCTAAATCTCCAGGCCCGAAAAGCTCAAACCCTACGCCTCTAGGCCCAGAAAACCTAAACCCCAAACCTGCTAGACCCCTAGGACCCTAAACCCCTAAAGCCGAAAGGCCAGAAATGTTAGGTCTTCAGCGTGCTGCTTCGGGTACGAACCTGACCGCCGCGAACCACGTTCTCTTCGCCGCTCTACGAAGTGTTTTGTGGAGTTGGGGACAGGGAGGTTTTAAACATCAAGCCCTAAACCCTAGACCGTGGACCCTAAACCCTAAACCCTAAACCCTGAACCCTGAACCCTGAACCCTGAATTTAAGAGCCTCCGGCTCAAGCCGCCGACCCCGCAGGAGAACAAGTTTAAGGTTTGGGGTTTGGTGATTTTGTTTGCGGTTCCTCTTGGGGGGTTGGGGGGGGGGGTGGGGGGGGGGGGGGGTGGGGGGTGGGGGGTGGGCTAAGGGGGGGGGTAAGGGGGGGGGGTAAGGGGGTGGTCGGGGGGGGGGGCAAAAAGGGAAAGAGCCCCTATGCCCTGTGCGAAAACGCCTATGGTCCATGAGTTTACGCGGTGTGGGTGGCCTGTTCCTCCACGGAAAAGCTGGCGGGGTACCCCCCCCTACCCCCCCCCCCCGCCGCGTTTTGGGGGGGTAGGGGAAAGAGGGAGGTTTTCACCTCCTTTTCCCATCCAACACGCTGCCAGGGTCGGCAACCCTGAACCCTAAACCCTAAACCCTAATCCCAAACCCTAAACCCTAAACCAGAACCTCCCCCCCACCCCCCCCCGGCAGGATTTTGGCTTGAAGTTTAGAGGTTAGGAGCCCTAAGACCTCTGCCTTTCGGGGAGGGTCAATGTTTGGAGTCTGGAAGTTGTGGTTCTCTCAGCGAGCCCTGTACTGGTACTTTAGAGGTTTAGGGGTTTAGGGTTTAGGGTTGAGAGTTTAGGGTTTGGGTTTAGGTTTAGGGTTTAGGGTTCAAGGTGCACCCCATGAACGCGGAGACGGTCGCGACGGCAACGTCGTACGAGAGGCAAGCTCTTGGCCGTGTCCGCCGGATTGGTCAGTGACTCGTCTACTACAGGATGGGCGATTATATCCAAGAACCCCTTAGAAAGGCACTTCATAGGGTTTAGGGTTTAGGGTTACGGGAATTATAAGGCCTACTCGCCAGTCCTGGTATAGGATAAGGCCAAATCCTAGAACGCATCCGCAGTTCCTCTGAAGCCCAAGTACCTTGAGGCCTCAATATGTTGTCAGCCTCCTCCTTTCACACCCCCCCTCGCCCCCGATGTCCTCAACCCTAAACCCTAAGCCCGAAACCCGAAACCCGAAACCCTAAACCCTACACCCTAAACCCTAAACCCTAAACCCTAAACCCTAAACCCTAAACCCTAAACCCTAGACCCTAAACCCTCATGAACTCTGAACCCTTCAGTGAGCGATTGAACGAAACGTGCATTAAGCGTGTAAGCGAGAACTCCCGCGAAGATTAGGAAGTACACTATATTATACGGGATTTTTTAAGGTTTACACGGAAATATTGGCGCTGTAATCTTATCAACGAATGTAGAAAAACATAAGGACGATTGAGCTGGACGCATGATTTTACGAAGTGAAGTGAAAGAGAAGACAAACACATAATTGGCAAACAATTAAACCCTAAACCCTAAACCCTAAACCCTAAACCCTAAACCCTAAACCCTAAACCCTAAACCCTAAGGTACTTTTATGGCCCCGTTAGAACCCCCAATTTCAGATCTAAACATCTGCACCTCAAAGGGTGCTTGGCCGGCGGTATGACCGCCGCAATGAGCTGTTAAAGGTGGAGGGTTTAGGGTTTATAGGGTTTAGGGTTCAGGGGTTAGGGTTTGTTTAGGGTTTAGGGTTTGGGGTTTAGGGTTTAGGGTTTAGGGGGTTTAGGGTTTAGGGTTTCGGGTTTAGGGTGTGTTAAGTAGGGGTTGGGGCACGATTAAGCGGATTGGGGGACCATGTCACCACGGTCTTCGGTAGGGGAGGTTTTAAGGGTTTAGGGTTTAGGGTGTGCCACGACGGTGGTCAGGCGAATCTGGGCTGACGTTCCTTAGGGGGCTTGACCCTCAAGGTTAATTACTCTGCTCACTTCATTCAAGCGAGGCCCACGAAACCCTACACCCTCAACCGTAGACCTGGCACCCTAAACGGCTTCCATGGAGGTTCAGGGCTTCGGGTTTAGCTAGCGAAGCCTGCAGAACCTTAAGGTAGAAATTATCGTGCCGCCAGCTATGGTGCATTTAATAACTTAAGGTTTTAATTAATTTAAATGCTCTAAATTGATTCTACAGCAAAATCAATACATTAATTTAATGAACAAAATCCAGGAATTGTCCCCTTGCTTGAGAGTATGAGGCTTGGTCCTGACGTTGGGATCCAGCTTCCGTGCCCGGCATGACTCGGCCCAGTCAGCTCTGCGATGGGTGTTCAGGTAGTGCCGGATTTGGAAGTGGTAAACCCTAAACCCTAACCCTAAACCCTAAACCCTAAACCCTAAACCCTAAACCCTAAAAGGGTCATCGGGTCAGCTTGAGGTGTTTGTGTTGCGAGCTTCCGGCTGCCTTGAAGCCATGAGCGAGCCGAACGTGGCTTCCAACATCTCGTCCGAGTCATCCAGTCTTCGACATGCTGTGGAGGAAGAGGAGCAACTCAGTGATTCTTAGAATGAGGGAATTGGGTTCCCTTTCTAATCCTTTAAGGGGCCGAGCTCTTTATGATGTGAAGCTAGCAAGCTAGACCTCTAAACCCTGGACCCTAATCCCCCATTAGAAGAGCTACTTGAAGGTTCATGGGTGCTTATCAGTAGGGTTCGAAGTGCTCCCCCCCCCCCCCCAAAAAAGGTTATAACTATAGTTGCCCTACTTGTGACCTTCCTGCCATGAACCTCCAGGTAGGCCCTAGCCCTAAACCCTAAACCCTAAACCCTAAACCCCAAACCCTATGAACCCCCAAGTAGTAAGGCCAAGCGTCATTCCTTCCTTGAGTGGTCTAGAGACTGCCCCTCGCGACGTCGAGTGCCGCATCTCTTCGATTGAGCAGCGCAGTGGTTTCAAAGCGGCATCGCAAAGCAGGATCGGGGGCTTGGGGTTTAGGGTTTAGGATTTTGGGTTTCGGGTTTAGGGTTTTAGGTTGACGGTTTGGGGGAAGGTACCCAAAGACTCCAATACCCCTTAGTTAAGGAATATTCCTTGAAGTATAAGAGGGTTCCTTATCTGGCTTAAGCAATATTCCTTCATCAAGGGGTGCTGCAGCCTCTGGGTATATTCATTAGCATGTCTTGCCGCAGCATGGCAAAGTATACTGCAGGATCACCGCAATGTTGCAGTTGCTTGTGGAAGATCGACTGCTGGACACACTTGGTGCGGCTAGCCAGGCTGGCAGAAAGCTCCCTGTCCGGGTTAGGGGTTGCCTTCGACAGTGGTAACTTGTCCTTGCGACGGGCTGAGCCAGGGTAAGGCGCCCCTCTTACATGGGCTGCTGCTCTCTCTCTCTCTCTCTCTCTCTATAGTGAAAAGGCTCATAGAAGCTTCTCTTATTTTTTTGGGAGGGGGGAAGGAAGGGGGGGTTGCCCAGGTTGCCACTGCCGAGCAAAGCGCGTACGACATCGCTTCCCCTGGCGCCTTGTACCAGCAGCTCCCTCATCACCGTGCGGGCCGAGCAAGGAAACCGGCTGCTGATGGAATCTCAGTCTGCTCCCGGGAAACCTGCGAAGCTTATGCAGGTGCTGCCGGAAGGAGAACAGGCAGTCTTGCCCCGCCAAGCTGGATCCGTGTCCGTGAGGCAGGTTGTTGCCGAGCAGGCGGCGGCACGGCTGCGAGCATCGAGCCGTATCTCCTTCGAAGTCGATCTGCCACTGTTGCTCCAGGGCCCAGAATCACGTTTTGGCAGCTGTTGCTTCAAGTTCTGGATGCTAGGATGTACTTCTGAGCAGCAACTTTCCACGTTCGGGTGACACATGGAGCGTTGTTCCGAACATGTCTGTAAATATCGTATACTGGAACGTAGCCATCTTGTATCTCTCTCTCTATATATATATATTATGTATATGTACATATATATATATATATATATATTTGCATAAACCGAAAATCCCAAACCCCTAAAGCCCAAACCTTAAACCCTAAGCCCCAAAATCCTAACCCCTAACCCCTAAACCCCTAGATGGGATGCATCCCAGGAGGGGCGTGCTGGCGGTCTGCGGAGTAGCCGCAATGTGGGACTCTTCCCGAACAGACGCTGCACGGTGCCTGGGTAAGATTGGGGCTTAGGGCGTAGGGTTTTGGGTGTAGGGATTAGGGTTTAGGGTCTTTAGGGTGTGGTGTGATGATATGGGGCTGAAGCTGGGAAGGTTGGATTGTGGAGGGCCATCCATCACATTTCTCCCACCCCACGCCGTCTCAGCTACTCCTTTTAGCTTCCAAAAATCCGGCCCGTGGTCCGAGCTACCGGGCCCATCGCGGGTGCTGCCGACCCCCTAAACCCTAAACCCTACACCCTACACCCTGCACCCTAAACGCTAAACCCTAAACCCTTGACCCTAAACCCTAAACCCCAGGCGGGGGGCCAAGCGACCTGGGTTGGCCTGCGCCATTGATGTCGAGGGTCGAGGGGCTTAAGCGACGCCCCAGCCCCACTGTGGGGGGGCGCCCTAGGCCGTGAGTTTAGGGTTCAGGGGGTCTCGGGTTCAGGATTTAGGGGCTTAGTGGTTTAAGGGTTTATAAGGCTTTAGGGGTTTTGGGGGTACATGTGTCTAAATCATGAACCCTAAACCGCAACCCTGTGTAGGATTGATGGTTTTGGAGGAAAACACACAACCCTCAACCTGGCAAAAGCCTCCGACACAAAATTCTTAATTTGAGCTCTAGGGCTTTTGGTCCATTGGGCAATTATCCCTTGAAGCCCTCTTAAACCCTACACCCTAAACCCTAAACCTCAAATGATTTTCAGAAATCCGGCACGAAGTCCTGAAGCCCAAGCTTAAGAATCCTTCACCCCTCAAGCCCACATCGAAGGAGATGCAGGCACTTTTTGCATGTGGCCGTCACCGTCGTCCTTTCCATGCTGGCAGTTTGGGTAGGCTTTGCGGTATTAAGAGACTGAGGGTGGAGACAGCAATATCTACACTGTACTTCGCTAGACTTGTAGGTCTGCCATGGAAGACGTGTAGTCTGCCATGGCATTTCAGGAGAGTCCTGTTCCAGAGTGGTAAAGTACACTATACCTGTTTCTAGCTACCCCACAGCCTCCGGCCCTTCGGCCCGCAGAACTTCCAAGTGAACTCGCCCTGCAGGACTTCTCCGCTTCGTCAGCCTCGTGCCCCAAGAAGCAGAACCCTGGCGTGATCTCACAAGCAAGGCCACGTCCACAACAGACATTGCGCCTTGTCATTGGGAGTCTCCCAAAGTTGGTACTTCTTATGGGGGGGACCATATTTTGGGCAGATAAGGGGTACCCTAAACCCTAAACCCTAAACCCTAAACCCTAAACCCTAAACCCTTGAAATGGCCAACCTAAGGTTCGGCTTTGAGTCCTAATGGTCCTTAAAGCCCCAAAGTCCCTGTGCAAGGTTCTTGGACTTGCCGCTCCAATGTGCCTGAGCTTCCTCGGAGGTGGAAGCTGTAGGGTTTAGGGTTGAGGGGTGAAGGTTGAGGGTTTTTAGGGTTTAGGGTTGAGGGTTTAGGGTTGAGGGGTTCGGGTTTAGGAAGCTGACAGGGTTTTTTGGCTGCGGCATGCTAGCCTGCAAGCATACGGTGTTAGACTATGTTCGTCTGTAGTGCTACAGTGCAGCATACTTCCGTATACTCTTGTGTGCTGTAGCATGCTGTCGAATTCATGGTTGATATGCTGTTGGGTGCCGGTTTGCCGTCTTGGGGGGCTTTGCGAAGGTGTCAGAGTGTGAGTTAGCGGTTGTCATATCGTTTGGGGTTCTGGGCAACCCTAAACCCTAAACCCTAAACCCTCTGTCCATTTGCATGGGCGCTCGAGGCTTCGACCGAGGTCCCCGACCGAGCGTCTCGATAGAACGGTGAGGGAGGGTAATCCGTTCCCCCTAATATTAAAGGCCCCCCCCCCCCCCTCCCTTGTATAAAAACCCCCAAAGGGTTTTTTGTATTTGGGGGGGTTCTTCTCGTTTGTCCGAAAAACCAGCCCGTCCTTATTGCAGCACGCTGGCTCAGCAGCCCAGCCTAAGCCTAGACAGCTACGTTTGGAAAAGGTTCATGTTTCTGCTTCCGGCTTCCAACCCTCCCCCCCCTAACTCCCCCCTCTCTCTGTAGAGGGACAGGCACGGGATCGGGATTTTGGGCCAGGGGGTTCTTTATATTAGGGGGGTATTAATATTAGGGGGAACGGATTAAAGCCTCCCGGTAGACGGGGCCTGCAGTGACTGGTTACGCCTCAGACCTAGGGTGTAAGGCCATGCACTTTTGCACTCCGAAACTACAGACTCTCCCAGCCCTTTGCTGCCATCTCATGGTTGGGAGCAGGGGCCAGCCGAGGCCCCTGCGACCCCCAAACGTTTTGCTGCCCGTTGAGGGGCTGGTCAGGCCACCCTCTAAGGCTTCATGGAGCTGCCCGGACCCGTAAGGAAAATGCGGGTTTTTTGGTATTCAAATGAGCGGTTCTTAACCCCCTCCATTTTACTCCACGAAAGCCCCAAGAAGGCCTACGAGCCACTAACAGGCTCCAGAAGGCTCCAGGAAGCCCCTCTGCGACCCCCCCCTGCTCTTATTCCTTTCCTACAATTCTGAAAGAAGTAAAAAGCAAGAAAGCCCCTCTTGAGGGGGTTTTGGGGGTGAACCCTGAATAGTTTGGGTGGTTGACGCAAGCGAGCGGCCCGAGTGCTTTCAGCACCAGCGAGCTTCCCTTCTA